CGAGTCCCAATTGTCTAGAGTTCTTCACGTTACCACAACATGTCCATTCAGTTGCTTGGCTCCTGATTGGCCTTGTCACCCGGCGTAGTGCAGTCAACTATGGCAGTCATCACCCGACAGAGCACGTCTTCCATGACATAACAGTAGCGGTATCTTGTGCTTACACTCGGTAAACGACAATCCTTCTTTTGTTTGTTATTTAAAATGAATATGCTGAGAGAATTTAGCTGTAAACAAAAATGTAAAGATCGTTTACATTAAGAAAATCTCATACGTGAAGGGTATTGTAATAAAATCAGCACCAACTAACACGGATACTACGGTCCTACGGGATTGAGATGATCTGAGCTCACTGTAAGAGGGGGTAAAGGTGTACTTATACGAGATACATGGTGATGTTACCTCCCCCACCAAGCCACTGCACATGGGATCAGGCAATGATGCAACGTACATTTGCCTCCAACTCTGGCTACTATGCCACTCAGGCAGGCTAGATCAAAATAAATATTCAGTTGGAAAGGGGTCACGGTGTGTGAGAAAGCCGATCATGCCACAACACACTGACAACCAACCATGTTCGACCTAATTCGACGAGAGGACTGATATCGCTACGGCACCTCTTAGCAGTCTGGGCCATCTAAGTCAGCTGAGAGACGATTTTAATGCTCACATTTCAGTCAAGATGCTTAGTGCTCTCCTCTGATGGATATTAGAATTTGTTAGTTTAAGCATCATTTGACAGCACACACCGATTAGTATTTATCTCGTAGTTGAGGTATCTCAGTTTGCATCGGAGAATTCTATGAATTAGGCTTTGCTCGATGAAATGGTAAGTGAACATGGCAAACTGTGGAGTTCACGCCTGTATTTCTGATTGAGGTCGCTTTTACGAACATTTACATAAATTCTTGGCTATCCGGGAGACGCCGCGTCGTTAGCTGGGAGGCCCACATTTCGCCTGACGTGTCGCAGGCTTCCTCAGGGCTGTGACATGAGTCACGACGACAGTGACGACAGCCTGCGACATGTCAGGCGAAAAGTAGACCTCCCAGCCAACGACGCGGCGTCTCCCGGATAGCCAAGAATTAATGGATTCGAGCCGCGGAAGCTTACGTGTGCAAAATAAATAAAAATGAAAATTGGAGTTATTTACGCGATGGGAAGACCCCCCCCCCATCAGCAGGTGTAAGTAGTGATCGCGCCGTTCGTTTCATCGGACGTGTACGTCTTGCTTTTCGCAGAGGAAGCGCGCGGCAAAAAGAAGAAGATCGCGCTGCTGCTGCCGCTGGCGCTCTTCTTCAAGATAAAGGCCCTGCTCATCCCCATCCTGCTGGGCGTGCTCATCATCAAGAAGTTGCTGGTGGTGGCGGCGGTGCTGCTGCCGTCCCTGCTGGGGCTGGTGAAGGTGTGCAAGCCGGCGCACCACCACGGCCAGGCGTACACGCTGCACTCCACCGACTGGTCGTCCGCCGCGGGCTCCGAGTACGGCCCACCGGCCTACGGCTACCCGGGCCACGACGGCTCGCGGCGCCACGCCCACGTCGCCGCCTACAGGGCGTACGCGCCCACGCCCGGCGCCTAGGTGAGTTGACCAGCCGCTTCTGTTATCTCTACCCTCGGTTGATTGATTCATTGATTGAGTGATTACTTGATTGATTGAGTGATTAGTTGATTGATTGAGTGATTACTTGATTGATTAAGTGATTACTTGATTGATTGAATGATTACTTGATTGATTGAATGATTACTTGATTGATTGAGTGATTAATTGATTGAGTGGTTAATTGATTTATTGAGTGATTACTTGATTGATTGAATGATTACTTGATTGATTGAGCGATTGATTGAGTGATTGTTTGATTGAGTGATTACTGGTTTGACTGAGTGATTGAGTGATTGCTTGATTGATTGAGTGATTGCTTGATTGATTGAGTGATTTTTT